CCCTAGTCCATTCGCTAAATTCTTGATCAGCCGGAAGTGCACCCTGAACTCCCATAACGCCTAGCGGAGCGGCCACTATGTTCTTCCTCTTTTTCAAAGTGCAAGAGCGCCGTGGCTTAGTGGGGAGAAGGGAAGGAGAGCTGTAATCGATCAGTAGTAGACTCGATCAACTCTAGGTGGAGGCGGGGGAGTCTAAGCCTTCAACCTAGCCAGATTACCAATACATTGCAGAGTAGCACCGCACCTGAGGCAGTGGGTAGGCTTGGTCGCACTACCGCACACACATAAGAGAGTCCCAGAAATTACAGGTACAAGCGGTACCAACTTAAAAAAGGGGAAAACCCCTGACTCACCAAAAGAGGTTTCTTGCCGGAGTATAGGACAGCCGGCATCGGAGTCACCGCTATGCTATTTTGAGAACGGCCAGTCTGTGAGCGTGATCCCCCTGCAAGACATCACTGAGATAACAAGAGTTAAACAATGATGGGGATTTCCAGCATACCGACAAACAAATCTAATAAAATTAGGCCCAGGAGGAGGAGACAGTTTGGGGCGGTATGCCAGTCTTCATTAGCAACTTCAAAAGCAGAGACAACCCACCTAGCAATCGTGTCCCTGGAGCCCGGGAGTGAGGCCGTGTTGTTGAGAGATCAATCCCCTGATGTCCTTCGTCCTTTCCAGATACCACTTCATCATGTGGACGGGGCACCTGAGCTTGTCTGAGGAAGAGGCTGAGAGTAAGTTGATTGCGGGGACGAAAATGTCCGAAAGCTGGAAGGAGGGTGTCTGGCTTTGGTGGGGCCCTATTGCTGGAACAAGTTGAACGCCAAGTAGTTTCCACCTGATGTGGCCGTCGGCTCTGGGGAGAGCTTTGAATTTACAGCCCCTTTTCGAAGTACCAAGGGTAAGAAGGAACACCAACTTAATGCCTAAGTAAAAGAAAGAGGCCCAATGTGCTGGCTCAAAGGGATGGCCTCCCAAGAGTCCTAGAACGTCCCCCACGTTCCAGAACGAGATGAGTTTCTTAGACGGGGCATTCCATGAACATTCCCTTGAGGTTATGGATCGCCCAGTTTTCAGGGACAGACAAGCCATAGGAAAAACCGCGTTCTTGATCGTGGAAACGAGGAGGCCAGAGTTGAAGAGGTGCATAGAGAAATCATTTACAATTGGAAGAGGTGTCTTGATCGGATCCGTAGCTTGTCCTTTGCACCATGAGTCAAAATGCTGTGTCAAGCCGTCATAGATTTTTCCCCCGTGAACAATTGAGTGAATCGACGACCTCTGGCGGCCAAGGCGTCTTGAGAAAGGCCTGCGGTGGGTCTGGATGAGGGACTCAAGCCCTGGGCTAAGAGGCAGGAGAAGGGGATTGTCTACAAGTAGCCTGACGATGTTTGGAAACCACGGTGGTCTGGTCAGAATAAGGTGATGAGGATACGAGGCTTGTCTTTGACAGTACCCCGGATATCGAGTGCAGAAGGTCGATACCTAGGCGTTCTGATCAGACGCGACGAGGTCCACATGAAGCGTCTTGGTTTGAATCGTCCATTCGGTAAGTCCAAGGACACGGCGTCTGCAAGGTTGTTTTCTGTTCTGGGAATATATTCGAGAAGGCGCCTGGTGATGAGAGCGCGTACCCACTTGGTGATTGATATGTGCAATGGCCGTTGCATTTTCTGACTAGACCAGGACTGTCTTGCCCTCTATCAACAAGCGAAATGAAGAAGAGCTTTTAATATCGCCTGCAGTTCTAGTGGGTTGATGTGGGGAGCCCTGGAGGTCAGGGCCACAGCTTGGTGCGGGTGAAGACAGCCCCCCAGGCGATGTTTGAGGTATCTGTCATGATTACCACGTTGTGTATCGGTGGTATGAAGGGGAGGCCGACGGTCAGGTTGTCTCTTGCTGACCACCAAGCAAAGTGGGGGAGAACCAGGGCTGACATCGGGATCTGCATTCGAGAGTCCCTGTTCGACTTGAAGTGAGATGGGATGAAAAGCTGGACAGGCCTCATGCGGAGACGACACCAGGGAACGAGATCTACAATGCTGGCCACCAACTCTAGGAGGTGGAGCCACACTCTGGTGTTCACCTGTCAATGATCTCGGAACATGGTAACGCACTGTATTAGGTTGTCTGTAGGCATAGTGATGTCGTTGCGTAGGTCGAGAATCCCTGGAAGTAGGTTGGTTTCTGTGGTGATTGATCAAGAAGCCCAGACAAGACGTATGGTCGTATGTGGTTGAGGTGGCAGTAATAGTTTGGCCCAACAGTATAAACACGCATGGGAAGGTGGAAAGAATGAAGGGAAGGGCAAAACACTCGTAGACCTGATTCTTGTACGAGAAGCGGAAGAATCTGTAGTCCTCGGGGTGGATAGAAATATGTAAGAATGCCGTGTCAGACTGAGGGGGACCCATAAACTCTAATTTGTACCCCTGTGCGAGTGAGACGAGCACCCATCTGTCCAAGGTTTATATCTCTTTCCAAAACCTTACGAAATTTTAAAGTTGGCCGTCAACAGGTTCAAAATTGGTGGGCGTGGGTGAAGCGGAAGAGTCACTGGTGCAGCCCCCCCTCCCCCAGGGGGCAAGCCACGTTGAGGAAGCCAGCGTAAGGGCAAGAAAAGTGTACTTGGGATCACCTCAAGCTGGGAAGAGGCGGCCTGATGGCCAGATGCGAAGCCTGACGAGGTTGTATGGAAGGCAGAAATCTGCAATGACTTGGTTCTCGGTTAAAGCTCTGGTCTCTCCTGGGGGAAGTCTTAGGTGCCTGGCAGAAAGAAATCTGGGCTGTGTTGATTTGCCTGACCTCAGTTCCCAGAAGAATGGGAATTGGCATGCAAAGAGGTCTTTGCCAACATAGGAAGGTTCCTCAGCGAGTTGACAGAGTTACATTGGATGTTTAGAGTCTCCACAACGTTTTCTCTGCGGGTGGAAGTAGCACAGAGAGAAATATTGGTGCATTGTTCAAAACCAACTAGCAGGGACTTCTCAAGGCTACGGAAGGCCAAAGTGTCTAAATCAGGGAGATGGGGTCCTCTTCGCATGCACGAGCTAGAAATTCAGTCAGGAGCAGCAGGAAGGGTACGCGTTTAATGCCGGTATGAGCCGCAGGATCCATGTCAAAGAATGCTGACTCTATTTGGTTCTTGGTATTCTCGGACAGGTTTGTCTGAAATATCTTCAACTTTCAGCTGCTATCTTGTCCTTGACTGCATCAGGGATGGCAGGTCCAGAGAGGCAAGTTTCGAAGTCGTCCAATGGAAAGTGGTAGTAGTTCCTAGAGCAGGAGTTGGAGTGCCACCATTTTGCCTCAGCCAGTCTTTCCATGGCGTCAACGCAAGCGCGGTCAAGCGGGAGCTCCGGAAAGAAGGACGTCGAGGTGTATGTCCCTACCGAGTGCCGTTCTAATGACAGACAATCCTGGCTGTTCTATCGTGGTGCAGGACAAGGGAGTCCAAGGACCCAGACCATCTTGCATTGGAGTAGGCGGAGGCGAAGCTCTGAGGTTCCTGCTTGTCGGATAACGGATCTGCAGGATCAGTTGCATGCAGTGCGGGATCAGTGTTAGCCTCGGCCGTGCAAGGGGCCATGGTGTCGTGTAAACTTCCAGTGGCTGGCGGCCGATACTGTTGTGATGGTGTCCAAAGACTCTGCTGCTCAGCCCTAGAGTCTGACGAGAATGTACGGGGTGTAGGGGGCAAGTAGGGATATGGGTCAGGGTGCATCGCGGATGGATTACACAAAGTAAAACACTGTGCGAGCATGTATAGCAGATTTCTGAAAATGCGCGTAGCGTTTCTTATTTGAAGGGGGGTCGTGTGCCCGTCTTCTTTTTCTTGGAAGGACAATCCAAAGAAGAAGATCAAGTCTGTAGCTTGCTTTTCTTTCTGAATGAGGACTCTGACGCGGAAGGGTGTGGAGAGGCCGAATTGGTCGGGGACATATCCACAGGAGGGAACTGCAGTGCTCGAGCACCATCGGAAGTCTGGGCAGGCACAGAAGGTTTAGAAGTCTGACCGATCACGGTTGGAGGCAAAGAGCCCCAGTGACAAAGATGTCCAGGGGGCTCAGTGGATCTGGTAGGAGACTGAATAGCAACTCACTACGCTCCATGATGAGGAGCATGAATGGGCCGGTATATTCACACCTGACTGAGGTCCAGGCATTCGCAGGGGGGCAGTTTGGAACCCGGGGAATACGCCTGCAACCGAGCCCACCTTGTTGGCCTGGAGCGTGAAGGGTTGCAGCCACCTGGTTGTGTCTCTCGGCAGTGTAAACAGTGTTGTAGATTGCCATTGCCGAGTCTGTCCAGCGAACCATGCAATGTGAGCTGGCCTATGCACCTTAACGTGACACTCGCACTGCAGCGAGTCACTTGGGTGCTTTCGGTATTGAATAGCGGACTCACCAACCCTCCAGATGGCCGGACAAGTGGGAATGGGCCAATATCAGTTCTCACTCGTAGCTCGTAGAAGGCCCAATCGCTACAACAGTAAGGGCTAGCCCACCACACCAAACTGTAGGGGCCATCAGGTCTGGCCGCTCGACAGTGTCGATGGTGACCCTGTCCTTGCCTGCCTGACAAGATGGGGAGAGTGTTAACTGGCCTACTCACTTGAGCCTGACGCCCACACTTTGAGCAACTAGAAGGTACAATGGTGACAGATGTAAATTAGGGTATCGCTAGGTCGCACCCCCTACCGACCGTTTCGAGAGAAAATAGTGAACCGACAGAGTTTCCTATTCCTGGCATTCGAGGAAACCGAAACCACCGCACCACAGTGTCGCTACGAACTCTAGCTATCCCCTGCTTAACGCTTCTGCGATGACGTAGACAGGCCTCCAATGAGACCCAGCGCCCACACCGCGAGCAAAAACTGGAAGGGGGTTGGATGTCCCAATTGAGTCTCCCTATCTTGAAGTCTAACATGATACACATAAAAAAGGGAGATACAAAGTAAAACCACGTAGCCTACACATGCATGACAATAATCAATTGCCGTGAGGGGTAAAAACACCATCTTTATTTCATCATGCACACTAGGCAAATCGAACCATAAGGAGGGTGAAACGAAAAGACTCATAAAATGCAGTATAGAGGCCATAGAGACACGAAGAGACCTCAAGACACAAGCTTTATTAGGAGTACAGACAAATGCCCGACATAAACACGTCCGAAACGAAAGGCATTAAACTGTGACCCTAAAACGGGACAGTCTTACGATAAGCTGTATAATCTACAAAAGATATTAGGTAGTAACTGTTGAAATAAAACAGAACGTAGAATTAGCAAACAAAAACTTGGAAATATCTCGGGATTTGAACAATACACGTCTGCTCGTAATGGCGCTAAGAAAACGAGGAAGAACATAGTGGCCACCACTCTGGGCATAATGGGAGCTGAGGGCGCATTGCTGATTGCGAATTTAGCAAATGGCATAGTGGACTAGGGAAACAGGCAAATGAACAGGTAGTCTAGTATGGTGGGAGGAGTACAGAATAACAACTATCAGAGGAATACAAGATAGTACCAAATACTAACACAGGTTCCTCTAGTTTTGGGTTTTTACTTTAAAAACATTTAAAAGTAAGTATATTTTGTGGCTTGGAACCTTTAATTTCACAAATGCAAGACTTTCAATAGTACATCAGGGAAGTTATGCGATACGTCTTAACTCAAAATAGTCAAATTTAATCCAAATATACGACTCAAAAAGTTAAGGACCACTTATTTTGTATATACTTTTTATACGAGACATTTTACTGTTAAAAAACACATTTGTTCTAATGAGAACACCATCTAGACAAACAAAAAATGAAACAACCGGATCCCACTCAATACTTGGAAAAAAATTACAAGTTAAGAAAAAGGTGGTCAACTTTTTTCGAGTAGTGTATTAATTTTAACTGAGCACCAAAATGACAAATGGGTCTCACAACTTGGGCCATTTAATGGACCAACTTATTTTCTTATGTGCCTTCCTCTTTTTAGGGGGACATATCTGCATAGAACATGAATCACAGGTTTTAACAATGCACAGCTTGCAACCTTGCAATTTTGGGATAGGATGCATTTTTCTAGATTTCTTCCAATTCTGTAAGTACACGAAATATTAATGCGCAAATCCTTGTTTTAAATAGTCTAACTCAAAAAGCTCAAGGACATTTAATTTTAGGATTGTTAAGAAGAAACGAAAACATGAATACTATAAGTTGCAACGGCATTTACTGATTTCTACTGAAAGCTTTAGGAATGTGATAGATAAATAAATTTATATTACTAAAAACATTATGTGATGGCTTTACCGGTACATTTCAGTGTTATGCATATATAGCACACTATTTCAAAATTAAAATACGCTTAATAAAAGCTGGAGAAAATACCAACACTTTCAAAGAAGGAAACACTAATATCATGTTGAGGTAATACATGGCCAGAAGTTTTAGTCACCTAAAAGTTAAACGTTTTGTCAGTAACCATTAACTGGAAATTACAACGCTTATATCCACTGCACCCCCAGTAGACCTTCCTCCATCAGTGACAGTTAACTTTACTTTTTGGAACGTGAGGGTAAAATAACTGCAACAAAATGAAACATTACAAATTAATTTCAGTTTTCATTTAGAATAATTTCAAACATGTTTTAGTGACATTTGTATCTAAATGTTTCGAGCCACATTTAACAATAATGAAGTGAGGTTTGGGATCCAAAATAGTCAGGGACAACCCCCATTTCACAGCCTATATTGAATATGATACATTTAGGCAATACGATCGAAAATGGCTTTCCTGCATATTGTTCATTTCAATATTTTTTGGTCACATATTTCAGGCATTCCATTGTTTCCTGAATCCTGACATTGACAACAAGTAAGCAACCATTCAGGATGTTCTTTCTATAATTGTTTTCGTAATGCAATGTGTACTTGTCTTAATCCCTTTCTTCTTTTAGCATCCGTTCCTTCTCCTCCTCAGTAGTCCAGTATTTATAGTTATAACGAAGGTTCTCCATTACTTCTGGACAGTCAATAAATGCTATAGAAGATAAACAAGAAATGAATAGTTCAACAGAAAGAATATAACTGATCATTACTTCATTATTGGCAAATAATGGTAATTTCAAAACTTCTCTTGACTCTACCTATAAGTGTTGCTAAATGGGATGTCAAAAAGATGGGAGACAGAAGCAGACGAGTTAACCGGTAGTGTTCGATGGTCAGAACAAATGCAACAATACTATAAATAATGGTAACAATCTACATATATCTTTCCGAAATACACTTCCAATAAATAAGAAATTTCTTTCATTACCATCCCATGCATCAAACATGTCCATGATGAAATATTCAGTGAAGGATATCTGTGACTTTGGAATACTGCATGTCATCCGATCAAAGACTGGCATTACTACTGGCAAACCTCGTTTCTTCTCTTCATCGGTCTATATTGCAAAACAAAACAAAACACAACAAAATATAACTAAAATTTAAGTAAGTCTTGGTAACTACAGAATTTTATCATTAATAATACTTGATAATTGCCAGCAAAAATGAAATATCACATGTTTATTGAGTTTCCTTCCCCACGTGGAGTGGGTCGGGTCTCCTACTAATACCTGCCCCTGCCCAGCCTACATATGCAAATTTCTCATGTGCCTATTACAATTTGCTGAAAAGACTTGATCATGCATTCTACCCCCTGACCCTCCACCGTGCACTGCAGTCCCGCCACCATGTTCATCCTTCTTTTCAAAGCGGTGAATATCACCGGAGCTAAAGTGGGGAAGGACGGGCAGGAGCGGCTGGGCAGGGGTAAGTATCACCAGGAAACCCAACCCACTCCTGCATTCACATACCCCAGCCCAGCCTACATATACAGGGTGGCACTGTATCCTGGAGGTTGGTCAGCGAGGGGAGTGTAATAACTGGGAAAACATAAGGTGGGCGTCGCAAGAGTGGACACAGCAACCCTACAAATTCTAGCTATCAACCGCCCAGTGTGGAGCAGCGCTGGATGCTGCCTGGACCGCCAAGCGCAGGGTTGCTCTGCCATGGGCCATTTCGCTCTGCAGAATTAGAATGTTCTTCAGGCAGCATTTGGTGAAGGTGGAGGGAGATTTCCTACAAGCGGCTTGGCAGATTTCAACTAGAGGAACCCCTTTGAAGTATGACCATATGTAGAGGCGGCCCGAACATCGTAGGCCCTGACATAAGCTGGAGTCATCTTATCATGCTGTGTTGGCCAGTCTTGATTAGGAAAGATGATGGCCGAGATTGTCCATCAAGCAATAACGTTCTTAAGACACTGGCTGAAAGAGTTTCATCGTGGTGATGAAAAATTCGGAATCAGATTCCCGGTTACGTTTGGTTCTGGCAAGATACTAAATGTACTATTTCTTGGCCCTATTTCTTGTCACTGTCGTCTCCCGCAAGTGAGGTATATCAGGAATGAATATGTCGGGAGGTCGGAAGGTAGGCAACTGGTTTTTAGTTAAGAACCCAATGGTTGGGATGAGACGAACCCTGAGAGGCTCCCAGCTGATGTGACCATCGGCAATCCATAAGGCATGTAACTCGCTACCTCATCTCCATGTAACGACCGCCAAAAGGAATGCCAGCTTGATGCAGAAATGGAGGTCAGATGCGTCAGCCAACGGATCGAAGGGGACAGCCAAAAACGGGAGTCTTGTCAGTCTTGGAAACCACAGTTGGCCAGGCCAGAATGGGGCATCGAGGAGAATCCGACATGGCTCCCCTTTTATCTTGGACATCCCCCGCGAGATGAGGGAGATAAGAGGAAAGGCTTACCCCAGAAGGCCCGATCACTTGATCATGTAGAAGCTTCTGTCACCCCTGCCCCCACGGGAGAGAACCTGGAGCAGAATGTTGGTAGATGGGCATTGTCGGCGGATGTGATATGAGGACGCTCGATCTCCTGGTTGACCACGTTCAGATGAAGAGTCCACCCTGTCGGTCTGACAGCACCCTGAGAGTGTATCTGCCATGTCGTTGCTGGTTCCTGCTATGTGGACGGCTTAGAGGGTGATGCCTTGATCATTTGTTTACATGAAGAGCTGTCGCGCAAAGGCGCAGAATTGGGGAGAGCGAGTGCCGCCCTGATGATTGATATACACCACTGCCATGGAGTTGTCGCTCTAGACTCGAACGGAACAACTTACTAGGTGTTGTCGAAAGACGCGAAGAGTGTTGAACACCGCTTGAAGTTCCACCACATTAATGTGTTTGTTCCTAGAGGCAGTGTCCGAGACCCCTGGACATGGAGTGGAGGAAAAGGGGCTCCCCATCCGAATGGTAACACGTCCATTGCCACAGTTACATCTGGACCTAGAGGTACAAAAGGAAGGCTGGCCGACAGCAGCTCGGTGATGGTCCATCACCAGAGGTGATTGCGGAGGAAGGTCGGCCCATATGTAAAATGAGGCTGAAGTATTCATTATAAGAAAGGAATACATGCAATAAGCCCTGTTACATTATACTATGTTTGAAGTGGCCATTTGTATCCTTTAGTTGGAGGACTACGGCCATATCGATACATGCATGGAGAACCAAGGTTATTCCGCATGCATGGCAAAAATAGAAAAAAATGCAAGTAAGGAGTGTCTCAAGATCGCTCCCTGACATATGTATCCAAATATCCTACATGTACCTCATCTTACTTCTATTTAAGCCTTTTATCCTGTCCATTTACTCACTGGAACAGAGAGTGTGAACGGCTAAATGGTGAAGCTGACAAGTGCTTGTCAAGTCCGCCTTTTCGTTTCAATTACGCGGGGCGCAGATGGAAAAGGTAACCATGGCAACACACGCATTGAAAGTAGCCACACTTTTGTCAGACCTCATAACAGTCACAGTACAGACACTTTGGGCACACCCACAGGCCGAGCGGAAGAATATATGGCGAGTTGGGAATTAATAGATGAAAGGAGCGTGTACAATTCACGACGATGTGAAGTTTGGTGAATTAGGACACCCGAGACATGAATACTGAATTAAATGGCATGATCACCAGTCAGAAATAGAGGGGAGCCTGTCTGGAGATAGCGGTCGATTTTACATGCCTGAGTGCCTCTGATGATGAAATTTCAGACATCGGTGGGCTCAATTAATCTGTGGGTAGGGCAATGACATCCACTGCAGGCATTATGAACAGAAGACCGATGGTCACACACATGGTAGGTTGATCGTATCGCGTTTTATTCACCGGGACAGCACCATAAAATTGTGGAGTGATGCCCAGACAGCAGATTTCTCCATTTCAAACCTAGCTGGCCCCCTGGCATAGGAGTCTCAGGTGCTAGCCGGTGGTCTGAGGTGTAGTGTAGTGATAGGCCTATGAGCAATTGTTCGTGCCGCGCTCAGGGTTAAGCATGCGTGACCCAGACTCACATTCACCAGGGGCTGTACGAGCAAATGACTTAAGGCGGCCCGATAGAGCGTACATGTAGTTTCCACACGCCAGGATTTCCCAAAACTGGACAGATCAAGGCAGACGCATGGGCCAGAATGGGAAACGTCACCTGCTGTATCTAATATGGAAAGGAGACGCCACCAGGCGTAGCATGTTCACAGGGTGGAGCTAAATGTGAGTCGTAAGTAGAGCCCGAATAAGTTGAATTATTATTGTTATTATTGAATGAATTTATTAAGTGCAAAATCAATTTAAAAAATACATGTGTAAAACGAATGGGCGCCGTTGTGTATTAGACAGACCAACGGAGCCAGATGTGAAGCCAGAGATGAAACTGGATGTGAAGTCGGAAGCGGAGCTGGCTACAAATCCGGGTGAGGATCCGGAAGAGGGATCTCAAAAAAAAGAGCATCCGGGTCCAAGGCAGTTGCCAGGGGAGTGGAGATTGACTCAAGGCTGCTGGCTAAAGGGGGCAGCGTCTCTGAGAGATCGGGCCGCTGTCAACAAGCCCGATGAAGAAATATCTTGCCTAGGTGTAGAGCGAGATTTCTTGCATCTGGACTCCGCAAAAGACTATGAGTGTTTACGCTTCTTATGCACAGTGATCCGGCCGTTGCAGCTGGCCCGGGAGGCGTGGAGCCAGTAAGGGACCTGGGGCAGAGGGCAGACTGTCGCCCTGTGAGCCCCTCTGGGCCAACGGTCGACAGGGTTACTCGGGGAGGTGGTAGGTAGTGACGCCCGATATCTGCGGCATAGAGAAAGGAACAGCTCCTTATGCTCTGGTCAACCGTGATTAAGGGTACTGTTACGGCATAGCACGTGCTCAACCTGATCTGTAGATATGTGGAGTGGGCATCGATGACCATGCGTAGTACTGCAGCACAGTACGCTCAGCCCAGTGGGTAGGTGTACTGAGTAGTCATCAGTGATAAGGGTAGTATTGCGGCAACTGCTCGCTCCATCCGATCAATTCCAGCCATGGTCATGAGTGATCAACCTGATCAATGTAGATAAGGGTCCGGGGTAGTGTTGCGGCAACTGCTCGCTCAACCCTGGCCCATTCATGCCACTGGGTCTCTCCCTGACCTGGCCGTTAATCTCGGATAACACAAAAACTGCACCACAAGGGAGCGGGCCAGCCTGCCAAGCCCCGCTCCACGGCCAGACCCATCCAGCGTTGGGCCGTTATTATTTGAATGCAGGCACCACATTGAGAACAAACGGCTGCCCGTGTGCCCTGTTCAACGGCCAGACACAACACATACCATGGTATTTGGTAGGTCACACCCAAACCTGTAGATAATGCACAGAAAAAAGCTGCAGAAAGAACAACAAAAAAATACGAAACACAAAAATAAGCACTCAAACCAATAGATAGGGAATCACTCTTTATTTGTAAATAGGAATCAAGTCAATTCACAAACGCGAAAGGTTACGGAACTCGAAACTCCGAAAATGTCATAAAGACATGTCCGTAAACGATAGACGCTGAGAAAAGAAGGACTAACATGGTGGCGGGACCGCAGTGCATTGTGGAGGGTCAAGGAGCAGACTGCATTATCAAGTCTTTTCAGCGAATTGTAATAGGCACATGGGAAATTTGCATATGTAGGCTGGGCAGGGGTATGTGAACGTAGGAGACTGGAGGTTTAGCTTAGAGAAAATCTCACCTGTGCAAAGTACTCTTCTGATATACGACGAGCCCACAGCATGCACATGTCAAGAGGCCTTGTTGGGTTGGACACGTCAGCACACTTTATCAGCATTCGGCGTATTAATGCACGATTCTCAGGGTTTGCAAAACTTGATGAATCTGGAGTACTTCTGCCAGTACTTTGCTGTGAAGATTTAAAAGATTAGTTTAAAAATTGACACCAGTTTAAAAAAAAAGATGTCAAACATTCTCTTGCAAGCAGTACCTGAGGACTAGCATGAGACCTGACACGGAGAAACAAAAAATAACAATGTTTCACATTTCTCCACTGTTCATGTAAATTGACATTTTTGATTCTACTGACTACCATGCAAACTGTGAACTACAAGTATGATGTTGTATTTTTTCCAGGTTTATTACGCTTTTATTATTATTAATGGTTTATTTGATTGTATCATCGCCGCCAGCAGTGAAAGTAAAATACACTTTCTGCTAAAAAAAGTAACAACAGAAAAGCTACAATATATGTATAAATAAAAACCAAAAAATGTGCATCAAAGACCAAGTTGAAGAAATGGTAGGATGCAGAAATGGGAAGATGAAAGGTGCAGGGTTGAAGGAGGTATGACAAAGGTATGACACTATGGATAGGCAGAAGAGGTTTAGAAAAAAGGGTAGATGAGGGAAAAAGGGAAGGAAATAGACCAGGGAGATTGGAGGACAGATGAGCAATTCAAACCAAAGGGCAAGATGGAAGGAAAGGTCAAAAGAAAGGGAGGAAGGAAGGCACAGTGGTTTAAAACCCTTCGTCAGGAAGATCAAAGGCGGGCATTGCCAGGAAAGCTTTGTATTTGGCCGCGAGTGGATTCAATGATCTCTATAAGCTGATTACGGGCATTGGAAGTCCGGATTTTATTATACACGTCCGTGGATTATGTATGCCATTTTGCTGGCGATATCTATAAAAATTGTCCTCTCTTGCTCAACTCATTTTTCTTTCAAGTGTTTTTTTTTTGCGATTATCTCCAAGTTCAAATTGAAATAGACCATGTTTCTGTCCATGGAGGTACCTCTGGCTCCACATCCATGTTCTGTCATGATTTTTATCTGCAAAAAATCACGATTTTAAGTTTCAGCATTATTTATTTCTCAGAAGTCTTCATCAAATGTTTTAATCAACATTTCTATAGAAATAAAACCACACAAATGTGTTGAAATATTTCACAATCAAAGAGCTGAGTTCAAAATCAAATATCTTATTTGGCCAATCGCTAGGTTTGAAGTCTCTCTGATCTGCTATTCAAGGCCATGACCACAACACTGAGCAGTTAGAAATGCCATCGTTTAAAGGGCTCGTTGACATGACAACTGGTGCAAAAAATATCTCTTCATCCTCAAGCGTTCGTTGGGATCGACAATCCATATTACCCCTGACAAAAAGCCACATTTGTTTCAACTACTGTTCAGTTTAAATTCCACCATAACCCTCAAATTACGACAAGCCTTCACACAAAAAGTCCACACAATTACAATAGAGTCGATGGCATTCGAGCGAATACAATGACTCTGAGCCCAACATCATCGGCAGCAATCACATAGCTACAGTATATGCTACATGCATGTATCTCAACAATAGAGGGCGCTGTTCATTGTGCTCTGAACAAGGTCAATTCCTGGCTGACGACGGCTTAGAAAGTTGCTTTTCTGGTACAATGATGAATTGCGCGACTTTGTCACTGGATTATTTTTGTAGGCAATTAATCAGTCAACCAATTTATGAATAAACTAGACATTTTTGCCCTAGCCTTTGATGGCCGATTATAAAAAATGCATCAACAAACAAATGTTGCCGTGTATTTTTCTTGTTTAGTACTTTTCATAGTTTACTGGGCATATTAAATGCGAATATCTGCATTCTATTCAATATTATCAGCTGAAAGAGCATCTAACAAGCAACACATTGAGGCAAAAGTTTCTCTCTGAAGATATAATTTTGGTTTTGAAAAGGAGAGTTTCTTGTTGAAGTTTTTTCAACTATTGTAAGTCTACCTTTCTTCAAAAAAGCTGCGGTACGTACTTCAGTGGAATATTCGATAAAACTATTCAAAAACAAAATATTTTTCGGTGAACTTTTTCTCATTAGATACTTCTTCGGATTAAAAGCATATTAAAAATATAAAATGTCTGGGTCTTTAACCACAGTGGAAGGGCTGATTTAACTGATATTAAAATTGGAAATACACTCAAGAATTAAAACCTCAATACATGTACTTGAAACGACGATAAAAATCATTCATCGATTCATACATCAAAGTCATCAAAGCTAAATTAAAATGACAAAACGCCTCCAAATTGAGGGCTACGATGGGCTTTAAAGGCACAGAAATGGCAGCCAGTTATTGCAACTTTTTGCTGAGGATATTACCTAGACAAGCACATTTAATTGATCCATAAACTGACCAGGACAATAAAAGGAGAAATTCCTCAGTTTAAATGGTGATACTGGCATCGTTAATCAACTTAATCAATTAAACCTATCAAAAGACTTTTCTGATACCTCTTGGGTCAACAGAATGGGACAGATATTGCCCTGGGGTGTCTCGGGTGAAGGCCATGCGCACCATGGCAGGTGGGAGGAATCCATGTGCAAAATCTTTTAGAGGTGAGTGAAGATTTCCCAAACCTACACAGGCCAATTGCCTGACCAGAGACTGGGGGTTGGTGGGTCGTCAAACCCAAAAGTGGAACTTTTGCCACTGCAAATACATATTTTTAAACAAAGGCCTGTCATAATGTGCTTTTGAACAAGTTGCATGTTTCATGGCGTTTCGTACATTGGTATAAATTTGCTTGTCACCCAGTGCCCTGAATCGAGTGCTGGGTGACGAGTGAATGATATGAATGTTATTGTCAAAAAATTCCAGAAAATCCTACAATAAATTTCAGACGTTCCATAAAATTAATTAATTCTAGTTTAGTTTACTGATTTCATTCTTCAAACATTTCCAGCGCGAGAATCAATGTGTGGGCTGCGGCTTGTATTCCGAAAATTACAGTATATTAAAAGTATGTATTTAGTATAAATAAAAAAAACAAAAAACAAGCAGAACTCAATAGCAAATTGGGGGTTCATTCAAGACCTCCAAGCCCCCCTCCCCCATCTACGGGCTTGCTAAAACAGAGCTGTTTCCTCTGTTGAATCAAATTGGTCAAACGCCATGACAAAAGTGCATCATCACAATTGTTACACAAACCAAGGATAATGCTGCACACTCTTTTCTGAACCCTTTCAAGGTTAATAATCAGATGTTTTGACGTGAGGCCAAAATTCCAAACTGGTATGGCATATTCTAGAATCGGTCTTATGTAACCTAAATAGACCGATGTAAAGTCATCTGCAGCTAAACTGTACCATTTCAATATTTTAACTTCTACAGCTTTTGGTTTGCGAGTCCAATTTCAGATCAGCCTGCGCTGTCACTTGCAGGATTCAGGCTGATGTTTGTTCTTGCAAGACACTGTCAAAGATAAGAACTGGTTTTAGTCCATTTGAATGTTTCATGAAGTCATAGCAGCACATTTGTCAGGATTAAGCCTTGTATGGTTATCTGACAGCCATTGGCAAAAGTGATCCAAATGGGAGTTTCTTGGTGTTTTAGCTGAGCATTCGATGATTGTGAGATCGTATCGTACACACTGCTGGCAGTCGTGTCGAAAACTGCATATCCACGGGATAATGAATTTATGAACCCCTAGATTGAGCAGTTTATTAATGGCAACATTGTGGTCAACGCAATCAAAAGCCTTAAAATCAGTTGAATACAATCCTTGAGAGGGCACTTCTCTTGTCAGAATGCTTATATAGGTGATTCAAGTGGTCCACCAGTATTGTTGATATTCCCTTCCTGCTACCAAACTGCTGGAAGTTGATGAGGTTCTCAGTATCAGACAAGAAACACTTGGAGATGAGGAATTCTGCAACTTTGGCAAAGTGTTCGGTTAGAGAAATTGGACGTAACTCCCCAAAATTAAAGGTGCTTTGAAAGTCCACGAGGGGATGATACTTACTTGTTAAACCTTACTTTTGTGCATTTCTCTAGCTAAGGCTTCCAACTGCTATTATTCAATGATATGCCAGTAACCCTAAACCGTCACAGGGAGATGGTGTAGGGGTATGTAGGCTGTGCCCTTTAATTTGTATAAGTTGTAAACCTCATTGTATAAAGAGAGTGTGCCTTTGACTGCAGCCATGGTAACCAAATGAGAGTCTGAATTTAACTTACCTTTCTGGGGGACTCATGTAAA